ATTATCTCCTAACTTACTGATATGTAGCCTCCATATTTCAATTTTGCTCTCAGTAATAAAAGAGGGGTAAAAGCACATAGTATATATGTTTTATAGGACATACAATAATATGTGATAGAATTATAAAGTGTTAAATTAGCAAAGGGTTTTCATTGTGCCTGACATACAGTAAAAGTGAACAGATGTGAATCGTCATCATCCTTAGTAGTAGTACCACTGTAATTGTTGTTATGCCAGCATCAGTGGATGTTTGAACTAAAGGATCTTTAGTGGTTTCAGGTCCCAAGATTTTGAGATTCTGAGGGGTCAGTGGAAAAGGTGAGCCCCTTCTCCTTCACTTTATTTTCAACACATGAATGACATGTGAGGTTGGTGGACGGTCTCGGTGCTCTGCTACCCTGGAGTGTCCTAGAGTACTGCATAAAGAGGTCACCATTCTGACTTCACTGCTGGACCCTGGACAGCTCCTACTAGAGTGGATGGTAGTGCTGTCCCCTAGGACATTCTCGTGATGCTCTTGAGAGGGAGAGAAAAGAGGGAGGAAGAAGAAGGCGCTAGTCTCCTTGGAACTGATCTGATTGGAAGAAAGTAGCAACAGTGAAAAGATGCTGGTAGGAGGAGATGTTTTTGCTTCCTGGGTTGAGATTCTGTGGGCTTTGGGTCCTTAGATCCTTAATCTCTTGACTCTGTTGATCTCATTCTTTCATTCAATGACTCCTTTCTACTGCTTGCTAATGGACTTACCCATGGGCCCTTCTTTCTTTTCCTGTCTTCTTTCTTCCTTGCTTCCCCTTGTTCAGCAAACAGGGGTTTGAGCATCTACTGTGAACCAGACCCTGATCTAGGTGCCGAGGTGAGAGCAAACATACATGCCCTGCCTTTGTGGAGACCATTGTCGGCTGGTGGAGAAGATATTAATTCCATAACTATGCATGGAATGTTAGTTCAACTGGATGAAAGAATACCTAGAGAATTGGTGAAACATTTTGGGTGTGTTGTGAGGGTGTTTCCAGAGGAGATTTGCATGTGAATCTGAGTGGGTTAAGTGGGGAAGATCTGTCTTCAATGTGGGCTGGTGCCATCTAACCCCTTGGGGAACCAGATGGAGCAAAAACAGGGGAAAGGCAAACTGAATTTTCTCTCTCCTGGAACTTGGATTCATTCTTCTTCTCCTGTCCGTGGACATTAGAATTCTAGGCTCTTTGGTTTTTGGATTCCAGGACGTATACCAACAGCCCCTGAGTTGTCAGGTCTTTGGACTTGGAATAAACCATGCTAGCAGTATTCCAAGATCTTTAGTTTGCACATGACCTGTCATTAAGACTGCTCAACCTCCATAAGCATGCGAGCCAATTCTCCCATACAAATTCCCTTTTGTCTATCTATCTATCTATCCATCCATCCATCTACCTATATCTATCTATCTACCTATCCATCCACCTATATCTATCTATCTATCATCTATTATTGGTTCTATCTGTCTAGAAAACCCTGATTAATATAATGCATAAGAATATACAATATATGACAGCAGTGAACTCTGAGAAAGGAACATTTCAAAGTGCTTTTTACCAAGTGTAGATGAGGAAACTGGCCAGAAGTGAGGTTGGAAGAAGCAGTGAGGGTCCTTAGAGCTGAAGGAGGCAGAGGAGGTAGCCAGGTAAAACACAGGGAGAGGCATTCTGGGCAGAGGAAAATACATATGCAAAAGTCCAGGAGGAGACTAATGGCTATAGTCTCTAATTTCTATTTGCTAGGAGGTTTTTATCTAAATTGTATTTACCCAAAGATTGACCCATGTATATATGGAAACTTAACAGAAAATGGAGGTAGTACCACAAATCACAGGGACAGGACGGATTGTTGCATGGATCATATTGGAAACACTGGGTCACCATTTGGAGAAAAATAAAACTGGCAGCCCAGTTGGCACCACGTACAAGAGTAAACTCTGGTGTGGAAATTTGGGAAAAGGTATTTGCACCAATAAAAATGAGTCCAGGGCTGATATCAACCACATACCAAGAATGCCTGAAAATCAAAAAGAAAAAGACAGGAAACCCCTTTTGAAGATGGCAAAGCAGGCAACAAGAAAAGATGTTCAATGTTCTTTTCCCTTTTCTCCCCTCCCAGGACTCATTTTTACAACTGCATTCCCATTCCTCTTTTTATTTCTGGACTAAGATCCAACAGCAGTTTAGCTTTACACTCTGTTTTTGAAGACAGGTTGAACAGAAACCTGAGAAGTGCTTCCACATTGCAGCAAGTGCCTCCCTGACTGAACATCTGGGAGACCGCCAGAGACTAGCAATGATCTTAAGTGACCACCAGGTGGCGCTTCAGCACTCCCCAGCTCAGCTCCGGAAAGGAAAGCGTCTCTGAAAGTTTTGCTCATTTTTAGTAAATAATGAAAAACCAGCTAACTTTTTGAACTGTTGGCCGGAATGAGTAAAGTATTCCCCTAGATTTGTAAGTGAGAGGAGGCTGAAACTCTGGCTTTGTTTGCAATTTTTGAGTAAATCTCTAGTACTTCCTCAACTAGAATTCATCTTGATTCTCCTGGGAGGGAGTTGATGCTGGATGCCCTAAAACAGAGCACAGGATGGGATGAGGGCATGCCCAGCCCTTGCACCTTTAGAACCAGTGTGAGTGGCTATGGAGGAGCAAAGCTGGGGTGAAGGGGGTGGAAAAAGGAACAAGGAGGTGCCTTTGCTTAAAGTCCTCGTGTGGCTGGGCACACTTTCTACTGCCTCTGTTCTTGCTTTCTGGAACCTCAGAGTGTTGTTGTGAGGCCTGAGCTATCCCAGGGTTGCACAGAATCTCAAGTTCTGTCTCTGAAGTAACAGACTGCACTCAGCAGGGGAGGCAGAGACTCCTCTGGCCATCAGGGTCCAGGGTCTTTCTGCCTGGAGGCATCCTAGGCCTAGCAAGTTCCATTCACTCCTAGTAAGATGGACGTGAACAGGTGAAGGGGTTCCTCGCCCATGCACCATCCCCAGTCAATGAACCATGGGAGATGGTGAATCAACCCCCAGCCTCCTCACCTTGTATGGGGTGGGGACAGTTCTGAGGGGTGTTTGCCACAGTCCCTCAGAGGGTCACCTTCAGGACTGAGTCCCTGTTGTCCTGAAGACTGACAAGCTCATCAACCCACTCTGAGTTGGCTTCTTCCCTTCCTTGGCTGTTTTCCTTCCCCCCTTCTTCACTCTGGCTTCCTGAGATCACCTCCCAAACAAACTGCTTGCACCTGAATCATTGTGTTGGGTTTTGTTTTCAGACAATCCAAACAAAGAGAGCAGGAGAATTAGGTACATTTTGATGAGCAGCTCAGATGTTTTCAGAGTGTAAATAAGACAAAAGAAAAAGAAAAGGAGATCAGGAAAGAGACCTCCAAGTAGATTCAGAAAGCCACAAATTATCCCTAACACTGTTATTTGATAAATGCCTTTATTCATAGTAGTCAATCACCTTGGGTATGTGGAGTCTTTAAAACTATTTTGAAGATAATCAGAGTGAATAGGAAACTCAGGTTTGAATTTTTCCATTTCCTACAGTTCTGTCCAGAGAATAGAGAACCTACTGAGACTCCAATGCCACCCCAGGTGTGAGCCTCGTTCATAAAATATTAACCAAGAGATAATTTTTCCCCTGAGCTCATAATGGCTCCTGACATATTAATTGCTGCATTTTTGATGAACAGAAAATAAAAAAAGAGCTAAAACCCAATGGGTAAAGCTTCCTCTATTTACATTTCAGAAAACCTCTAGATGTATTCTTTTGTAAAATTCTGCACCCGGCTCAGGCAAGACTCTCAGCAAACAGTGTTGAAAGCCATTAATAGTGGGCTTGTGTAGGTTACATTTGCTTTATTTAGGGCCCTGGAAATGCAAGTGTCAGCACAAAGTAGGTTTATGGTTCCATTAAATTGCTAGGAAAAAAAATATATCAAGACAGTTAAAAAAAAAAACAAAACAAAACACATACACACACAAGAAAGAAAAACAAGGTTGAGTGATTCAGCCTGAATAAATTAAGAACCAATTTGATGCAAAACATGGACTAAGCAAAGAGCCACTCTGTTTTTGTTGCTCATGAATCTCTCTCTCTCCCTTGCTCCTCTCCCCGCAAGTTTTTTTTTTTTTTTTTTTTTTTTTTTTAGGTGTGGGTTAGGGGTGCTGGTATCACCACTCCTATTTCTTTTTTTTTGGTAGTGGAGATTGAACCCAGGGGTGCTTAACCACTGAGCTATATCCCCAGCCCTTTTACTTTTTAAATTTTGAGATAGGGTCTCATGAAGTTGCTGAGGGCCTTGCTAAGCCCACTCCTATTTCTAAAACTCCTGGAAAGAAGAAATTATTAAATGCCCAGCCCAAAGGAACTTCACACAAAGTTTTAGGCAGACTCTATCTCCTTAAAGATGAGAACCACTGCACAAAACACTTGGAAGGGCTCTGGGTATCTTTATGAAAAATTTGTATGCACCTCCTTATAGTCTACAGGTCTATATTTGAATCTCATTAAAATGTGATTGATACTGACACAAAAGAATAGTAACTGTACACGTTCATTTATGCAACATTCAAAAACCGGAAATGACCAATTTTTGCTGTTAGAACACAAGACTGTGGTTATTTTGGGATGTATGGGTAATAACTGGGGTGGGGGTAAAAGAAGGGTTCTGGGGTTTGGTCATGTTTTGTTTTTTGTTGGTTATATGTGTGTTGCAATTCTGAAAATTCACCAAACTCTGTATTTATGATCTGCTCATTTGTCTGTATTTATCTTATGCTTCAGTTGAAAAATTTAAAGCATATTAATACTGTTGTGATGTTAAAATTAAAAAATAATTTGTTTTTCACTCTTGCTCAATTTATGACTCCTAGCTCTCCTGCCCCAATGGTATCTTTTTGCTGGGTCCTGCCAGGCTAGAGACCAGACAGTACTCTTTTCTGAGGCTGGCTGCCCAGCAAGGTGCCCACCCTTTGAGAGAGCCATCTTACCTGCAACCTTGGAGTTGTAGGCTACGCCAACCCCACAAATATTGTTGTTGGCTGCTGCTGAGACTTCTCCTGCACATCGGGTTCCGTGGCTGTGGGAAAAAAAAAGAGACAAATTAGATATCTCTTTTGAAGATTTAAAAATAAATTAGAGGGGCTGGGGCTGTGGCTCAGCAGTAGTGCACTCGCCTGGCATGTGTGAGGCACTGGGTTCAATTCTCAGCACCGCATATAAATACATAAAAAATAAAGTTCTATCAATAACTAAAAAAAAAATTAAAAAATAAATTAGAGAAGTTTTAGTTTTTTACTATATTTTTATTACTGATTTTATACATAAGAATGTCCACTCTTACCATGCCTATTCAATATTGTATTTGAAAGTTAGCCAGAGCATTCAGGGAAGAGAAGGAAATTAAAGGGATACAAAAAGGAAGAGTCGTCACATTATCTCTACTGAGAAGACCCAAAAAACTCCACCAGAATATTTCTAAAGCTGATAAACAAATTCAGCAAAATAGCAGGATTAAAAAAAAATCAACATGCAAAAATCAATAGCTTCTGGATGTATCAATAATGAAACTGTTGAAAAAGAAATCGGGAAAATAATTCCATTCACAATAGCCTAGAATAAAATAAAATAAATCTGAGAAAAAAAATCGCCAAAAGTATTTGGTGGAGATTTCTTAAATTCTACCAGCTGGAGACAGTCGGGTTCTTTTTAAGGGTTCTGCTGGGGCCGAGCCAGCCTGTGGCCCACCCAATTTTCTGTCTGTATATCCTAACGTTCTCTTTCATCCTGCCCCTCTCTCCAGTGGCCTTCTTGACCCTGGGTTGTCTCCATCATAAAGAAGTTTCTGAGAACATTTTTAACCTTAACATTTGATCTTTGCTTTAAAATTTGAAGTATCTTCCTGCGGATAACACACAGGTTTCCTTAGAAATGGGACATAATATAAAACAGGTGTGTGCTTGTTGGAACGGCTCTGGTTTTTTTGAAGCACTAGGGTGGTGGGCCGGTGCTTATTTCCAGGGGTGTTTCAGTCCACAGGGATGTAATGCTGCCTATCCAAAGGGGCTAATGGTTACAGCTTCACTGGGTCTTAGCCTCCTTTGTTATATATTATGTGTATATATATATTTTATAAACATTTACACATTCATTATGTATATTTTGTGACTACATATAATATGTGAAATCTGCAGACATGCGTGCATGCATGCACACGCCCAAACACATACACACACAAACACATTTTCTTTCTCTATAGGAGCAACTGATAAGTCCTTCCTCCACAAAGGTTATTTATTTGGTGGATTCAAAATTCCCTTGGGAACAAGAATGAAATCTGTATATTTGTGTACACAGAGACCCTGTAGTCACTTGTGAAAAATCAGGTGCTGGGAAAATTCTCATCTACTTGACTTTCAGGTTTCTGTAAAACACATCTGAGATTCCGGGGAAGGCACTTGGTGTAACTTGGTGGGACAGTCTATTATAGATGTGTCTCTCATAGCTGCCATTTATTCCAAAAGCTGGAGAAAATGATAAAAAATCAGCATGGAAGCTCAGACATATGTATCTGATAAAATGAAATATATGTACACTTTATTTTGATTAATATACCCTTTAAATGTACATATTTAAGTACATATTTGGGCTTATATCTGGTCGTAAATTTATGCTTATGTATTCATATGTAATATATATTATATATTCATCCATATATTATATATTTAAATATATACTTATGACAAATACATATCATACGTAAAGTACATATATGTATATACTTTATATACCTGCATACATATAGTTTTGATGTTTCCTATTTATTTTATTTACTTTTTAATTGACATTATAATTGTACATACAGAGGGGATACTGGGTGATAATTTCATACAGTATACCATGGAATACAACATATAATGATTGAGTCAGCATTTCTTGCTTCTTAAACATTTATTATTCTTTTCCTGGAAAACCTTAACCTCCTCTCTTCCAGGTCTTTATAAATATACCATAAATTTTTGTGAGCTCTGGCCCCACTCTGTGCTGCAGAACATTAGAACTTAGGCTTCCTATGTAGCTGCATTTGGTACTTGTCATCAAACCTCTCTCTGTCCCTGCTTCCTGCCTACCCTTCCCAGCTTCTAGCAACCTCGATTCTACTCTCAATTCCTATGAAATCAACTTTTTAAGCTTCCACAGCATGCATCTCTCTCTCTCTCTCTCTCTCTCTCTCCCCACACACACACACACACACACACACACACACACACACTTTAATGGATACTGATTAAATTTGACCAGCTTGCTAGCTATTTGGCTCATGCTGAATAAATACTTAAACAGAAGTTTAAAAATCAGTCCCATGTCTAATTCAACAGAGCATTAATTTGCTTATTATTTAATAACCAACTTTTATACCATTATCAAAGTACATGTATGAAGACACGAATTGGTGACAACATACTTTATATTCAACCAGAGATATGAAAAATTGTGCTGTATACGTGTTATAAGAATTGTAATGCATTCTGCTGTCACTTATTTTTTTTAAAAAATCCATTAAAAAATTGAAAAAAATCAACCTTTACAAGATCTTTCCTGGACCTGAAATGTGCACAGAGGAATGGTCAATACTTTTGCTAGCATCATTGAGGAGCAGACCTACAATGGCAGCCCCCTAGTGTGTGGAGTCCTGTGGAGTATGTGGGTGGGCAACTGAGGCCAGAGCCAGAGGAAGCAGAGCGCCCTCAGTGGGCAGTTTCTCCTTCCCAGGCGCTGTGCTTAGCACTTTGCCTCAAGCCCTTCGGGTCTCACAGGGCTGTGAATGGTGCTGCTCCATTCCAGAGAGGTCAAACCTGGGTCTTGGAGGGGCGAAGTGCTTGCCCAAGCAGACAGTGGAACAGGGTCTGGGTCAGGTGGGAGACCAATGCTCATTAATGGACCACCCCACAGCTCTTTCTTAAAGACAGACAACCTGTCCCTGCCCTCTGCTAGCTCCCTCAAGACTGCAGGACTTAGGCTGTGAACTGGCTTGGACAAATTAAAGTGATTGCATAATACTCAGGTATCCCCAATTCTGCCCTTTAAGTGGGGAGATGTGTGTCATGGACTCTGCAGAAGAACATACAGAAAGACACAACGCATTGCTAAATTAAGTAATACTAATTAAAAACAAACAATAGATGGAGGCTCCTATAATTGCTCACAACACCTGCGCCTTTGAGTGTTCACCAACATCTTCCTTCTGTCTTGTCTTCCTGATTGTCTCAGGCAAAGGTGTTTGCTCCTCTAAATTTCAGGAAAAGCTTCTTCCAAACCTATTTTCATTTGTTTGCTTTATATTTATTTTTTTGAACCTAGGGCCTCACACATGCTAGGCAAGCATTCCACCACTGAGTTATATCCACAGTCCTTCTTTAATTTTTTTTTTTTAATTTTGAGGCAAGGTCTATGCTAAGTTGCCCAGATTGACCTCCAGCTTGCAATCCTCCTGCCTCAGCTCCTGAATTGCGGGGATTACAAGTGTGTGCCACCATGCCTTGCTCTGGTCACTAGATTGTCTTAAGAACTTTTAGTAGCTCCTTCTTGCCTCTAGAAGTAAACCTAAGCCTGTGAGAAGGGGAAGTAGCTGTAGGAGGTAAAGGAAAATAACTGTGGCTTGATTAGCCTCCTAATGAAGGTTAATGGGAAGCAAATGACCAGGGGCGTGGGTGTGTTTCCTTGCCAGAGTGGCCCTGATCCGCCACCCTCCTGGGTCTGTGCCCTTGACAGTGTGCTTTTCTTTCTCCTCCCATAAAGAGGTGAAATGTATTTTTCCTGACATTGAAAATGGAGTGGCCTGTGGCTTGTTTTGGATAAAAGACTGTGGCAGAAGTGAAGAGCCTAGGCCACAAGGGCCCTTGTGGCTTCTCTCTCCCTTGAAGCCCTGCCTACCTGACATGAGAACAAGTCTGGGCTGCCGATAGGATGATGAAAGACACATCACTCAGCGTGCCTGTCACCCCAAGCCACAGCCGTCCATCTTTCAGATATGTGGGTGAAGCTGCCCCAACCCAGAGATTATACAGAGGACCCACCAGCTGACCATGCCCACATGGGTGAGGCCAACTGAGATGAGATGAGGGAGCCTGGTCCAGATCAACAGAACTGTCCAGCTGACCTATATAGGCAACATTGGGTATCATTAAATGTTGTCAGTTTTGCTAATTCAATTGATGTGAAAGGACATCTTGTTTCATTTTGCATTTTTTCCCTCACTGGCATGGTAATCCCTTTTCCTTCCTTTCAAAAATATTTCTATTTATTGAATTAATTATTTTACATGAACAGATAATATTGCATCAGTGATTTTGCCCTATCTCTTGCCTTTTCCAGCCCAAAGCTGGCATTTCTATATGTAGTACATTCAAAATGTGGTATAGTATACATCTTTTCAGTGTGACACAACTCTTATTTACTGATACCTACTATGGGCCTGATACTATACGAAGAGTGCTGCATTTTTATCTTAGTCAGTCCTCTCAATGGCCTATTATTACCTCCATGTTAAATACCAGGAAGCTGGGGTATAGAGATACTGAATCGCTTTTCAATTAAAAGGCAGAATCGGAATTCAAACTTAGGTCTGCTGCTTCCAAACCTCTGCTCTTACCATGACCTTTAATTATTACTTATTTCTAACTATCAGAAACAAGCAATTAAAAAGTGTGATGGTTAATTTTATGTCTCAACTTGGCTGGAGCAGAGAGAATGCAGGTATTTTGAATTATGGAATATTTTAAGGATACCAACAATTTTGATGAATAACACAATGAATCTCATATGGCCGTCATTTGAGTACATCAAAGCTGAGTATTTTCCATACTTTAGATTTTTAAAAAATATATCATTATAGATATAACTGAAACCCTTCCTAAGGTCACTCCCTCTTTGTTTCCTTAGAGGTGGCCTCTAGAGTGAATGCTAAATGCCTATTTTTATGCAATTGTCTTATGATACATGTTTTCAAGTTCTATATAAATATTTCATAGTATATGGTCTATCCAAAATTGCATTTTTGAGATTTATTCATGAATTTTG